GGGGGGGGGGGGGGGGGAGACTAACAGGCCACGACGGGGAAAACACAGGCGTACCTGCGCTCTTTGAAAACGCTCGTTGGGCACGGTCGTGAGTCGAGCACACGACAGCGACCATGATGCATGAGACTGGCCTAATGAGGGCATGTCGTGCGCTGTGTGCGATGTCGTGATGAAAAGGAGCAAAGCCTTCTTGAGCCCGACTTTCCGTTCTTCAAACTCGTTCTTCAAACTCGGACCAACAGCAACGGCAAGACTGGTCGCCAATTTGGTCTCGCTCAAGTCAACTGAATGCGATGCTCGTTTGAGAAGGAAATCGAGTAGAAGAAATGTCGCGGTCGCCTCTCTCTCTTGTTCTGTGAACATCGCAATATTTAAGTACTTGCTCCTCGGTGGCGAAGGTTTCCACGCCAAATCTAGTGAAAGCAAACGGTTCGACTCCGAAAACAAGCGGGTACTGGGAGCACGTCTCGTGCAGAGACCTAGCTAGCTTTTTCCGATGCTCAATGTATACCGTTTGGCCTGCCCGTTGCCGACTTTTCAGGTCATCCAAACCCTCTGATGCTACATACTCATACGAAGGTACGGAGGATGACTTCTTGCCTTATCGCCCCTCCAGAGGCGCACAGGCTCAGCGTGACCGGGCTGTATGTTTCTGGGCCGAGCTCCACGCCGAAGAGCGGGATGTGTCGCTGCATCTCGAGCATCCCCTTCGCGAAGCTCGTGTCGCCCATCAGTCCTATACGCATGCCAAACGTGTGTATGTCCCCGACGAGAGGCGACGGTAGCAACAGCAGCAGCAGCAGCAGCAGGGTTTGATCGTAGCAAAAAGAAGTAGATAGCGCGGTTCTGATCGCGGATATCCGTTTAGCCTGGCGGGTTTCAACGTCAGATGAGGCGTGCCGTTCTACTCTACGCGTCCAATGTTCTTGCCTTCGAGCCCCCGTGCAACGGTCGCAAAAAAGGAACTGTGCAGCCTTCCTCGAAACACGACCCGCTCAACACAACGACTTACACAATTATACCTAAAGTCATAAAGGAAACAGCAGTATTTCGGAAATACTTGCGTAACCGCGATAGTTTGTCCGTATTCGTGGCCACCACCCACCCTCCTGCCCCTCTCTCCCAAACGCCAATCACAATCTCTGAAGTGGGCCAAGAGGCCGAAATAGTCAGTCTTTCCGAAGATCGATGTAGCGAGAAAAAAACGCTGATGTGCGATGTTGGCCATAAAAACGTTCCCCATGAAAAACACTAGGTCGGTGTCGTTGGAGACACAACGCACAACCTCTTGTACCGGTACATCTAACCCCCCCCGGCAGCCCGGGCCGGCGAACACCCGGCATTTCGCTCCGTCCCGGCATTTCAGGTATGCGAGGTCTACGGTCTACGGTCAACCGACGCACGGCTATGAGTCCCCCCCCTCGGTGTTTGCCATCGGGACTGGGTTTTCGTCGCTTGGCAACGACGTTGTAAAACAAGCCAATTCACTTCGTGAACTCGGCAACCAGGTTACCGTTTTTTTTTACCTCTGTTTTTTTTTTGGCGGTAACCATAATGGTGGTCGAGTGGATCATGTTGTGCGGGGTGGATAACCCTCACTCCGCGCAAGGCGGATGATCGCACCACGTTGTGTTAAAATGGTCAAGCACCCTCGAGGCAGTTACACAGTGCTTACAACCGTATCTGGAAGTGAAAGCACCAGAAAACAAAGTAAGTCATACGNCTCCGCGCAAGGGGGATGATCGCACCACGTTGTGTTAAAATGGTCAAGCACCCTCGAGGCAGTTACACAGTGCTTACAACCGTATCTGGAAGTGAAAGCACCAGAAAACAAAGTAAGTCATACGCAGCTGTCATCCGTATGCAAGGAAGTACGCACAAGATGCCGAACACCCTTTGCAGGATGCAGCGCACCCTTCATGCGACTCGCCGAATATCTCACGGCGCTTGGCGCTTGGTGATGTGAGAGCCTGGTCCGGTGAGCACCCGGCGTGCGCCGTCCCGGCTTTGTAGGGATGCGAGGTCAATGGTCTAACGACTACGGCATGCACGACTATGAGTGCACCCCCCCCTCCCCCCGCCATCCGCGCTGCCTTACCCGCGCCCTCAAAGCTGGCCTGCATGTACGACCCCATCCCCGGCACGAAAGGGTCGTCCCTCTCGTCTTCCGTGAAGGTGTACTTGAGGCTCGTCTTCGTCGAGGGTCTGCCCGCGTCGGACACCACCCCTAGCGACGCCGCGTACGCGTACGGAACCCCCGGGTGCCTGCGCGGGGACAAGTCGCGGAGCCCCATTTCCGCGGCGAGGGCGTGCCTCCCGTCCGGAGTGCGGGCGGTGGCGGTGACGCCCCTCCGGTGCTCGAGGAGCGAGGAAAACTTCGTCAGGTCAACCTTGAGGAACGGATGGAGGGGTGGGGGGAGGGGGCGTAATTGCATGACTTAGCTGTTAGGTCACGCTTCCTGGAGACGGGGGGGAGGGGCACGCATGCTGTAGTCGTCGTTGTTAGACCATTGGCCTCGCAGGAAGGATTCGGAGCGATACGCCGAGTTTTCGCCGGCCTAGGCGACGTCTCACACGGATGAACCAGGGGGTGTTCGTCATGCGTGTGTGAGGGGTTGCGTGTGATGTTGCAGGAGGGTATGTTACGTGTGTCAACACAGGAGGAAGAAAGACGAGTGGAGGAAGCCAACGCTGCCGAGACGGTATCGACGAGGAGGCGCGGCGCGGTGAAGCTCCGTCGGTGCGTCCAGTAGAGAGACAGCATCACCAGGGATGATGCTTGGGTAGTCTCTTCTGTACCGTAAGAGACGGAGAGATGGCACCCCCCCCTAGATCGACTTTCAAAGCTCGAATGTTCCATTACCGAGCTTTCGCTAACACCACGAATGGTGGTTCTGTTGACATCTCGCCGAGGGCTTTCCGTAGACGCATCGGGCATTTTGCGCGCCCCCTTGGTTGTGGAACAATCCAGCTTTCAAAGTCGGTCTAGGGGGGGGTGCCATCTCGCCGTCTCTTACGGTACGTGGTAAGGCTGGACGTCCTTGCTTGCTATCTAGACAAGCGGGGGGCCCGCTGGAGCGGTTGCAAGCGTCAGGAGGACAAAACAGCAACAACAACAAAACCATCGTCACGACGTCGTTAACACGTTTAACTCCTTAGGGGCACTTACCGGAATCACTGGGCCTTGTCTACTTAGCTTGATGACTTTGGCAGGCGTTGAAACTGTCCGAAGCTCAGGGACAGGTCAAAGATTCGGCAGGATCATTATCGAATGTTTTCGCCTTCGAAGACGACCTCCCAGACAAGTAGGCAAGGCTAGACAGCGGAACACAGACGAGGAAAACGTGAAATCGAAACGCCCACGCGCGTGGACTACCTAGTATACACACAGCAAACACACGCCGCGTTGCACAAGTTGCCACACCGGTCGGACCGATCTCACGTTCCTCCACATACCCACAGCACGAAGGGGTGTGCAGACAAGACACTATCCCCAAAAGCTTACTTGACAATCATCACTCTTCACCAAAAAAAAAACACGTCATTGTTGTGGGAAACACCGACCACTTTCGAAAATCGATTCATTTCAGGGGGATGATAGACTAACACCACGGAGACCCCGGTTATGATCTCCTCACCGTGTCCATGATAGCTTCCAGCGTACCCGACACCGGTGTGCGGAACAGGTTCGGCAGGTACAGCTTGGCGCTCACGGTGTGACCCTCCTGGCCCGCGATGGGGCTGTTGTAGCCCACGTCCAGCATCTCCCCGTGCCCGAGCGGGTTCCGCAGGGCCCCCGCCACCGAATACCTGGGACGGATAAAACCGGTTCCACAGACGGGCGGTCAGCGTTCAGGTGCTGACGGTGGTCAGGGGACGTGCAGGATGAAGCCCTGGGTTCCTTCGGTGGATCGACTCGATTACACACCACCGTTTCCCGCCAAGGACAAGAGTGTGGCGGGATCAGCGAACAACAAACGTGTCACCCGTCTTTGCAGCAAGCAGGCGAGAGCTTGATCGCTGGCAGTGGTGGGCTTCGCCTTCCGCAAGCACGCACTCCCCCCCCCCCCCAAAAAAAAAAAAGCTACTGCTACAGGGGTGGGATTGCGGGGGAAACGTGTGCCGTAATCACCTTCCCCTTGTGTACATCGTAAAAACGAACGCAATAAAAAAAAAGAGGCACCAGCGTCTGAGGTCGCAGCAACATTAATCAGGCAGGAGCCATTTAGCCGCCCTCCGCAACCATACATGCAAGGTCGCGTGTGTTTCGTACAACAATACCAAAGAGCCACGCGATGGTATACATAGGTGGAGGTGAAAGCCTGATGTTCTGAACTCGAGATTCGCGTGTGCCTGTCCCACAAAAACTATTAATACAAAGCCATGGGAAGACCTGAGGTTGCTGAATTCGGAGGCGTCCAGGTTTCCTTTCGCCGTTCCCGTCGTCGTGGCCCCCGACTGCAGCAAGTACCAGTTCTTCTCCTTCACGGTGACGGTTACGTCCGTCTGGTCCAGCGAACCGTCGTCGACGGCATCCATCGACACTTGAACAGACTCGAACAGCCCCATCCCTTTAAAACGATATTGAGGGGGGGGAGACCGTGGGAGTAACGTGCACGATGGAACTCAGAGGCGTTCTTGGATGAGGGCATCGGGAGGAGAAGCAAAAAATAAAAATCGGACTAGCATTTGAGACAGGTGTTGCTGTGCAGTGAGACGAGAGGGCTGCGATTCAGTTTTAACCGGGTGGAGACGACCTTGTGCCTACCGTAAACTACAAAGTTTTCCCCCCGGGGAGGGGATCGTTTTTTTTTCCGAAACCAAACCCCCCGGGGGGAAATTGACGTACAGTGTGATCCCCCTGTAGTTTCCTGGGTCAGTCTTGTCTCCTTTCTTAAACAAGTTCACAACCACTCCTTCCCTCCATCTACTTGGCGTATACTCGTTTTTCCACACCCAATGTATAGCAGTACCATCAGCTAGGATCATCCCCTTCCCCCCAAACTTCATGAACTCGTTGACTATCCCATCCGCTCCTGCTGCTTTGTGGCACTTCAGCTTGTTCATACACGCCTCAACCTCGTCCTGTGTGAACTCCTTTTCTAGTTCTACGTTCCCAACGTCTGCCTTCGATGT